ATATATATATATATATATATATATATATATATATATATATATATATATATATATATATACATACACATACATACACACACACACACAAACACACCTATAATAAAGGTAAAAAAGGATATATGCAGTGTTATCTTAATTTTAGATATCAAAAGGATTTTGCGGCTCCCGGTGTTTTGTTTTTGGTGGGAAACGGGTCCAAGTGGCTCTTTGAGTGTTTTGGGTTGCCTGCCCCTGAACTAGACATACCCAATTCTCGCAACCGTTCCTTATATGTTTTAGCCTCCAGTTCCCTAATCATCTTTGTTGCTCTTCTCTGTACTCTTTCTAGAGTCTCAACATGTTTTACATCGTGGGGACCAAAACTGAATGCAATATTCCAAGTGTGGCCTTACCAAGGCATTGTAAAGTGGTATTAATACTTCATGTAAAGTGATATAATACCTCATGTAAAGTGGTATTAATACTTCCTGTCGGCTTCCAACCAGCAAAGTCAATGAGGAAGCCAAAGAAAGAAAAAAAATATCACAAAACACGGTGGTGTGATGTCTCACAGTAAGAACCATGCCACTTAATGACAACGTTTCCAATCCCAATTGTAGTCATAAGTCAAGGACTACTAGCTGATTACATTTGGCCAGGAGCAGAATCAAGTTGGGAGGAACCAAGAGTGAATTGGTGGCTGAAAGTATCCTGGGTTCTGTTTTCGTTCTGCTGAGGATTATTCTACCCCTTTTTCTCTGTTTCTTTCATCTCTTTTCCTTTCTTTTTATCCTCAGCTGGTAGATTGGAGGGGGGGGGGCTTTAGGAAAAGCCTGTTTCCAGAATCAGCCCTGAAAGCTGTATGTGAGGTTGTAAATGACAAACAAATTAATGGGCTTTTGCTGCCTTGCAGGCTGACCGCTTTTGTGTTGAAATGCCTTTCTCAAATGAAGAGATACATCCCTGTGGAGGAACGCCACCTGATCGACGCTCAGAACTTTTTGGCCTTAAAGCAGAAAGGAAATGGCTGCTTCCAAAGCACCGGGACCCTCCTGAACAATGCGCTAAAGGTACAGGAAAGCCAGCAACGAGAGATCGGTGTAGCCGTCACTAAAGAGCACAAGGGGCTAGACCAGGGATAGGCCACCTATTGGCTCTTTTATGACTCGTGGACTTCAACTCCCAGAATTCCTGAGCCAGCCATGCTGAGGGGAAAGGGAGAGGTTTCCAAGCTGAGCCATGCTGGCTCAGGAATTCTGGGAGTTGAAGTCCATGAGTCATAAAAGAGCCAAGGTTGCCTACCCCTGGTCTAAGGGCTATTGTAAGTGTTATTTATATAGCCTAGGGCAGGTATAGGCTATCTTGGCTCTTTTGTGACTTGTGGACTTCAACTCCCAGAATTCCTGAGCCAGCCATGCTGAGGGGAAAGGGAGAGGTTTCCAAGCTGAGCCTTGCTGGCTCAGGAATTCTGGGAGTTGAAGTCCATCAATCATAAAAGAGCCAAGGTGGCCTACCCCTGGGCTAGATGACCTACAACAGGAGTCTTCAAACTTGGCCCTTTTATGACTGGTGGACTTCAACTCCCCGAATTCCTGAGCCAGCCATGCTGAGGGGAAAGGGAGAGGTTTCCAAGCTGAGCCAGGCTGGCTCAGGAATTCTGGGAGTTGAAGTCCACGAGTCATAAAAGAGCCAAGGTGGCCTACCACTGCCATAGGTACTAGATTGCTTTGAGAACCTAGTGATTTAGCACCCATCCCAAGGTCTCCCTTGGTTTCATTTCCTGAGGGTCCCAGGCTCCGTTGTCTGTAGATAAGGCAGATGTTTTCAGGCCAGGTTCCTTTCTCACGAAGGGAGAGCATTTCAAGGAGCAAGCAGGCCCCCTCCCACCAGAATGGCAGACCTCGAAAAAGAATGCATAGGCCAGGGGTAGGCAACCTGGGCTCTTTTATGACTCGTGGACTTCAACTCCCAGAATTCCTCAGCCAGCCATGCTGAGGGGAGCTTTCCAAGCTGAGCCAGGCTGGCTCAGGAATTCTGGGAGTTGAAGTCCACCAGTCATAAAGCAGCCTAGGCCTAGGCCAGAGATAGGCAACCTTGGCTTTTTTATGACTCGTGGACTTCAACTCCCAGAATTCCCGAGCCAGCCATGCTGAGGGGAAAAGGAGAGGTTTCCAAGCTGAGCCAGGCTGGCTCAGGAATTCTGGGAGTTGAAGTCCACGTGTCATAAAAGAGCCACAGTTGCCTAGCCCTGGGCTAGACTAGCTAACCTATGGGTTTGAGGGCTGAGCCATTTCGCCGAACAGCGGGATCAGCAGTGGCATTTGATAGCAGAGTGACGGCTATCTGGCCCTTGTTTTGGACAAATGGGGACCTTCAAGTGACCTCCTGACCTTTTGGGGTACAGTCAGGTAGGAAGATAAACAGAAAGGGTGGGGGTTATTTGGGGACGATGGCAACTGTAGTCAGATTTATCAAGAGGGAACTAGGCAAAGATTCTCCATTACATAGGGAGGAAGATATATAGGAGATGCAGTATAGAATTGAGTCAGGGGACCCTTTGCATGTAAATCAACAGGAGCAACAAAGATGCTTTTTCAAAAGGCAATTGGTCTTTCTTGGTTTTTCTCCTTTGAAAGACCTTTCACTTCTCATCCAAGAAGCTTCCTCAGTTCTGAAGAACCGAAGAAGCTTCCTGGATGAGAAGCGAAATCTTTTCAAAAGGGGAGGAAAAAAAAAGAAGGGTTTTTTTCCTTGTGGGAAGAAAAATCAGGTCTGGTTCCAAGCCGGGGGGGGGGGGGAGAAAGACACTGAAAACAAAATGGAGGCTGCAGGAAAGAAGGTCTCTGTTTATTTGGTAGCCAGAAACTAACATGGCAGCGGCATATTTCTGAGGTGGCTGACCCCAGTTAGGATTTTTGTGCAGTTTGCAGTATTTTGTAATGTTGAGGCTTGCTTTGTGTGCTTTTATTATTTGATTGGTTTTGCTTGTTTCACAAAGGCTTGTGATGGATCTTACGTGTCGGCTTCCCTTGGTCTTAATCCCGTCAAGCAAATGTAATTGATTTTATCCTGTTATCTTTAGTCTGTCTGTTGCCTCTAGTAGTGCTTCCTTTAGTGAATAGGCAGGCTTGAATCAATGTTTCCGCTTTTCTCAGGGATTGCGGTTACTCAAACTCACGAGTGAAACATTGCTTCTGTATTTAACTTTTCCTGAGCTTTATTCTTGTGATTTGAGGCATAGTGAAACAGGATTGGGGGGGAGGATGCGTTCTTACCACAGGCTTTTGGAAAAAGTACCCCTTGGGACAACCAAGACCTGGATGATTTAGAACAGGGATCTTCAAACTTGGCCCTTTTTTGACCTGTGGACTTCAACTCCCAGAATTCCTCAGCCAGCGTGCCTGGCTGAGGAATTCTGGGAGTTGAAGTCCACAAATCATTAAAAGGGCCAAGTTTTGAAGACCCGTGATTTAGACAACCTGAGCAGCACCTCTCCCAATTTTGTGCATTGTATGGTCCTGAGGGGGACACCAAATGGTGACCTGACCTTCGCCCGCCTGAGGCACCCTTGAAATAAGTAGGCTACAGATCCCAGAATTCCCAAGCAACATGTACATCAGTGAGAATTCTGAGAGCTGAAGTCCACGTATCTGGAGGTTGGGAAAAGCTACTTGGGGAGATGGAAGCTGTCCTTTCTGTAGTTATGGCTGCATCCCATTTTCTTCTTACAGGGCGGAGTTGATGATGAGGTCACTTTGTCAGCCTACGTCACCATCAGTTTGCTGGAGATGCCCTTACCCGTCACGGTAAGAAGCCATCTTCACCTCCCACAGACACCATTTAGCACCTTATCTCTTCAAGAAAGCTCCCTACGAAGCCGATTGCCCCTGAGCATAATAAAAGTCAAGATGCTCTCAGTTGAGTTTCATCGACTGCATCCAAGTCGGAGGTCTGTAACTGCCATCTTGGCCACACCACCTCAAGTTCAGTTCGTTTTTTCCATCTTTAGCTAAAACCGAGGTGGGGAACCATGGCCCCTTGATGACTCGTGGACTTCAACTCCCAGAATTCCTGAGCCAGCCATTACGGCTCAGCCATGGCTGCTTAGGAATTCTGGGAGTTGAAGGCCACGAGTCATCAAGGGGCCATCAGTTCCCCATCCCTGAACTAAAACGTGAGGGGTAATTTATGCAATTACCATAGAATTTATCTACTGTAGTAGACCATAATAATAATTTTTATTTTACAGTCCCAGACCAAAATGCAAGTGCAACAAAAGAAAACACAAGAAAAATACAATCACAAGCAGTTAACACCAGAAGCCTTGGCTAAAGGGAATTACAATGTTCTCCTCTAATAGTTACAGCTCTTAAAAGAAATTTAGAAACCTGAGAAGTAATATAGGAAGAATCATCCCCTAGACCAGTGGTTCTCAACCTTTTTAATGCCACGACCCCCAACCGGTTGTAAGTGGAGGACTACTCAACTGGTGCAGCACCGTTTGCAGAATGGGACTTTTGGCGGGCTCAGCAGGGCAGAGACAGCCTGGACAATTCCTATTGGCTTTTGAAAGCCAATAGAATGAGACTCTATTCAAGAGAGTCTATTCTATTGGCTTTCAAAAGCCAATAGAATAAACGGGAGTAGCACAGCTAAGGAAAAGGGGGAAAAAATGGCGGACTGCATTGTTTGGTGACCCCCATGAAATGGTTGTTCGACCCACAGGTTGAGAGCCACTGCCCTAGACAATATAAGACCAAATTACTAACATTAGAACCAGAGGGATCAATTCCAAGGAGAGACAGTAATTTAATTCTGGCTGTATTATACATAGGGCAGTATGATAAGACATGCTCCACAGTTTCAATTTCAGTCCTATCACAGGGGCATAGTCGCTCACTAAACAGGAGCCTCTTGAATCGCCCGTCGAGTAGTGCTGAGGGCAAAACATTGAAACGGGCTAGGGAAAAGACTCTTCTATACTTGGGGATGGTTAGAGTATAGAAATATGAAGCCATCCTCAATCCATAATTATTAGAATGGCTGAAGATCAAAGGGGAGCAGGTTTTGTTGGCTCTGGATCTTAAATATTGCAAATCTATGTCCACAAGCCGTTGGACTACCCTAAACTGGGCGTCCTTGAGACCATAATCTCCCAGAGCATCCCCCGTAAAACCTAGCAAGTGGAGTTTCTTCGTCAGCTCCCTTTCCCAACAAGAAGTATGAGAGTCAGCAAACACCAGGGAGAGGTAGCTACCAGGGGCTGCCGAAAACTGTACTAGACTATACAGAGCCTACTCTACAGGTAGTCCTTGACTTACAACCACAACCGACTCTGACATTTCTTTTGCTAAGCAAGGCAGTGGTTAAGGGGTTTTTGCCTCATTTTACGTGCTTTGTTGCCAGGGTTGTTAAGCGAACGCAGTTGTTAAGTTAGTAATACGCTTGTTAAGCGAATCTGACCTTCCCATTGACTTGGCTTGTCAAAAGAGTCGCTAAAGGGGATCACATGACCAGTGCAACCATCATCAATATGAAACAGATAAGAGTCCAAATTTGGTCACGTGACCATGGGGATGCTGTAATGGTCGTTAAGTGTGAAAAATGGTCATAAATCATTTTGTTTTAGGACCAGTGTAACTTTGAACGGTGTCAGGGCCCACTTCAAAACCTCATCCTGAGAACGCAGAACTCATGGAAGCAGTTTCTTCCCAAGGCAATGACAGGATCCGAGGGTTTCCCTGCTCAGGTCAATAGGTTAAAAGTGTCCTGAGCAAAACCCCACCCCATAGTTCAGGGGTAGGCAACCTATTGGCTCTTTTATGACTCGTGGACTTCAACTCCCAGAATTCCTGAGCCAGCCATGCTAAGGGGAAAGGGAGAGGTTTCCAAGCTGAGCCAGGCTGGCTCAGGAATTCTGGGAGTTGACGTCCACAAGTCATCAAAGAGCCAAGGTGGCCTACCGCTATCCTAGGACAAAAATTAAGAGCAGGGGTCTTCAAACTTGCCCCTTTTATGACTCGTGGACTTCAACTCCCAGAATTCCTGAGCCAGCCATGCTGAGGGGAAAGGGAGAGGTTTCCAAGCTGAGCCATGCTGGCTCAGGAATTCTGGGAGTTGAAGTCCACGAGTCATAAAAGAGCCAAGGTTGCCTACTCCTGCCATAATTCATCCGGTCAGTTCACATGGGCCAGTCCCCAGGGGTTAAGTCCGTTGTGGGAAAGAGCTGATAATGGCTGGGCTGTCTCAGGGTTTCAGCGATGTCTTGTCGGCTCTTTGCACCTTCCCTTCCCAACGCAGGAGATAAACCCTTTGCCGAAAGCACATTCCATTCTCCTCCATCCTTCTCTAGCTGACATCAAGGGGAGAGATAGTAAGCAGAAACAGCAAAGGCTTACAATATAGCTCCGTTGTGGCGAACCTATGGCATGTGTGCCACAGGTGGCACGCACAGCCCTCTCTATGGGCACGGGCGCTGTCGCCCCAGTCCTAGGCCTTCAGCTGGGTTTTATAAAACCGTTTTGCTTTAGGCCTCCGCCGCCGTGTCCAAAAAATAAAAAAAAAGTTTCAATCAATCAATCGAATTCAACTTCTTGCGGGGAAAAAAACCAGACCTTGCAAAGTTGGAATGGATTGATCAAACTTTTTAGTCCCACCCGGTGTGCCATGACCACTGCAGCCACGTCCACCCAATGGGCCACACCCAGCCGGCACCCCGACAGTACATAAGTGGGTTTTGGGTTGCAGTTTGGGCACTCGGTCTCTAAAAGGTTTGCCATCACTGATCTGGGTCCTCATTTTACCGAGCTCGGAAAGACGGAAGGCTGAGTCAACCTTGAGCCGGTCAGGATCGAACTCCTGGCAGTCGGCAGAGTTAGCCTGCAGTACTGCTTTCTAACCACTGGGCCACCAAGGCTGATAGCAGTTCAGATCTCACCAACCCTATACAAATGACAGAAATGCTCTAGATCAGTGGTTCTCAACCTTTTTATACGGCGACCCCGGTCATAAGCAGGCGGCGCGCATGTGTGGCACCGCCCCCTGCGTGGCACGCATGCGCGGCGGCGCCCCCCTGTGCGGCGGGCATGCATGGCGCCGCATGTGCGGCAGCGCCCCCTGCACGGCACGCATGCGCGGCGGCGCCCCATGCGCCGGCTGACAAAAAAAATGGCGGATCGTGTTGTTTGGCGACCCCCACGAAATGGTCGTTCGACCCCAAATGGGGTCGTGACCCACAGGTTGAGAACCGCTGCTCTAGATCCAGAGTCCCCAATCCCTGGGCCCTGGTCTGTTGTATGCCAGAAACCGGGCCAAGATGCAGGCAGTGCACAAAACTACGCCCTCTCTGGTCCACGGGAAAAACCTCTCTCTATTGAAACCGGTCCCTGGGGCCCCAAAGTTTGGGGGGGTCACTGCTCTACAATGAACTCCTTCCTTTTTTTCTCCCTGCAGCATTCTATGGTGCGAAATGCGTTGTTTTGCCTGGAGACCGCCTCCCACCAGAAAGACATCCCCGTGTACAACCTGGCCTTGTTGGGCTATGCTTTTGCGTTGGCTCACAAACAGGACAAGGTGACAGAAATACTCCACACCCTTCAAGAAAAGGCTGTGAAAGGAGGTAAGGAGGAAAAACAACATTTGTGGGAGAAGGGTGTGGATTTACCGCTAGGACCAGCCCAAGAGATGAATGAATGAATGAACCTTTAATATATATATATATATATATATATACATATATATATTGGAAAATTTGCATAAATATGTATATATTATATTATATTATATTATATTATATATTATATATTATATATTAATATATATATATATATATATATATATGTTCAATGATGCAATCTTCGATCTCCGGGAAGAGTATACTCCAGTTATTTATTGTTAAAACCACATTTAAAACAATAAAAACAGTTATATACGAAAATTAAAACAACTTAGCTTTCACTGGTCCTCTGCCAGCATCCTCAGAGTGGGGCTTAGGGGGTGGGAAGTTCTTTTTATCCCCTTGCTGATCCAATTGCCTACTCATTGCCCTCGTGACAGGGCCACTCTTCCTGATTGCCCGTGACTGCCTCAACTGTTCCACCCTCTCTTTTTTGCACTCTAACATTGTATTTTCCTGCTTTGTCATCCTTGTGCTATCTCCCCCTCCCTGTGCTGTTATCAGTAGCACGCTCCTGGGCTGCTGATCTGCCTCTGGAGTATACTCTTCCGGAGATCGAAGATTGCATCATTGAACAAATATGCCCGGGATTCGTATTTTTATAACTATTAAGGACATATATATATATATATATATATATATATATATATATATATATATATATATATATATAGCAGGAAGTGTTTTCGGACAGATGTCTAATTGATTACACCTTGACATTTTTTAATGCTATACTGCAAGTTTTACTTTTTACAATCTCTTTTGCCTTGCAGCCCCCAACTAGGGGCGTAAGCAGGCTCAAGTCGCAACTGCGAAACATTACAAATCCAAATTTCTTTTTTGACAAGAATTAAAGAATTAAATTGGGGACTAAGATGGCCATTTCGAGCTCATTCTGCTCTCGTCAGTTAGCCACACCCTTTATGGGATTCGAACCTGGCAGTTTACACACTCCCCTCTTTGCCAGCTGAGTCAAGGGAGTATATGCAGAAGTTTTTCAGACAGATGTTAATGATTACACCTTGACATTTTTTAACTGCTATACTGCAGTTTTACTTTTTACAATTCTTTTTAAAACATATATATATGTGTGTGTGTGTGTGTGTGTTTTCTGAGGTTTTCGCGGGTGTTTGTATGTCTTTGGTTATTCGGGTTTTCTCCCGCGTAAAATTGAAGTGTCTTGGCAACGTTTCGACGAAGTCCCATTGTCATCTTCAGGCTGGTGTTTTCAGCTCGGCTTCGAGCAGCAATATATATGTGTATATATATATATATATATATATATATATATATGTAGGTCTTTGGTTGTTCGGGTTTTCTCCCACGTAAAATTGGAAGTGTCTTGGTGACGTTTCGACGAAGTCCCATTCGTCATCTTCAGGCTGGTGTTTTCAGCTTCGTGCTTCGAGCAGCAATGTGTGGTCTTAGCTGTTTCTTCCTTTTAACTGCCAGTGGGGGTATGAACTGATTGGGTGGGAGCTTGGCTGTGTTCTGATTGGGTGGAGGTGTGTTCTGATTGGTTAGGGGCTTGGCTGTGCTCTGATTGGCTGGGGGGTTGGCTGTGCTCTGATTGGCTGGGGGGTTGGCTGTGCTCTGATTGGCTGGGGGAGTGTTCTGTTTGGTTGTGCTCAGGTTAGTCTGAGTTGCAGAGGGGTTTAAGATTTTGGGCTGCCTTGCTATTTTTTGGCTTCGCGTTTGTGGTCGTGCCTCATTTTCATGGAGGGTGTCAGTTTGCTTCATGTATGGATTGGAGGGCTTTAAAGTGGCTAATGATGCAGCTCTGGTCTGGCTTCTGGTTTGTGGTTGTGCCTCATCATCGGTGTGGCTTTGGGTTTGCTTTTTGCGTGGATGTGTGGTGGTGACATCCTGTGTGGTTTTTGTGAGTGTGGGTCTGGTATCATTTTTTGTATTAGGGAGTCGTTTGTCAATAAGGGCGGGTTTCCACTCCAACTCTGCAGCCACCAAACGGATCCTGAAAAGAACAGAATTGGCCCTAATCAGAAATGAACTTCACACAAAAAGATTCCTCCTAGACCGAATTAACAAAGATCTCCTCACACTCCACCTCAAACTCAGCAACAAGATCCACCCCGCACTTTGGGACAAATCCAAACAACTCGCCGTCTGGAGAGCCGAAACACAGACCTCCCTCAAGAAACAGCTAAGACCACGCATTGCTGCTCGAAGCACGAAGCTGAAAACACCAGCCTGAAGATGACGAATGGGACTTCGTCGAAACGTCGCCAAGACACTTCCAATTTTACGCGGGAGAAAACCCGAACAACCAAAGACCTACATACAAACACCCGCGAAAACCTCAGAAAACATATATATATATATATGTATACAGTATACAGTGACATTGGCTGAGCCTCCCTCCGTGCCACACCCCCCCCCCCCACAACTCACTTCTCCTTGTGCCATATCCGTTATCGGATGTTGGCGATTATGATGGCGATTCTGTTTTTATCAGCAAACGCACAAAAAAGTGCTGCTGAGTTTTGTCCAAACCAGTCCCTTAGATTTTGAACCCACGATGTTCTTCTTCTGTCTGGACCTCGTTTGCCTTCCATCTTTCCCTGGAGGGTTAAATGGAGCATGCCGTATTTTTCTGGGTGTCGCATCACGAGTCCGAAATATTCCAACTTTCATTTTTTAATTGTTTTGATGATTTCCCTGGGCTTTCCCAGGCGGCTTATCGCCTCCTCATTTCTGATCTTGTCAACCCAGCTTCTGCGTAACAGCATCCTGTAAATCCACATTTTACATCCACGTTGAAATAAAAACAAGGATAGAAAAAGCTCGAACAGCATTCTTCAAAATGAAAAAGGTCTTCTGCAGTCACGACATAAGCCTAAGACTGAAAATCAGGCTTGTCAGATGCCATATTTTTCCTCTCCTGCTCTTTGGAGTAGAGAGTTGGTCTCTGACAGCAGGCCACCTGAAGAGACCACAACTCACAGTGACTACAAACCCCCAACTTATTACTGTGAGCTAATTGCACAGCACGCCGGCCTCACGAGTCTGTCGTGCATAAAATTATGTCCCATTCAAGAGCCTGACAGCCCATGGATAAAAGCTGTCCTTCAGCCTGTTGGTACGGCTGGCTATATTTCTGTATCTCCTACCCCAGGGGTGTCAAACTCAATTTCACTGAGGACCGCATCAGCATTGCGGTTGCCCTCAGGGGGGGCGGGGGTGTGTGGCCAGGGTGGGTGCAGCCTACTGGGTGGGCGTGGATGGACTGGGTGTGGCTTACTGGCTGGGCATGGCCAGCTCTACATCGTTTGCGTCAAGGGTGCCTGTGGGGGCCTGGGCAGGAGTGGGACAGATCTGAGGGTCTCTGGAAGAAGGGGGTGGGACCGGGGCAAGCGCCAAGGCATGGTCCATTTCTTCATTCCTCACAAAGGGTGACACCTCCCCAGCATGCACCCAGGCGGCGGGGCGGACATGGCAGGGGCTGGTTCCTCGCTGTTTCCAGACGGCCTTGTGGAGCTAAGACTGAATGCGTTTCAGCATAGATGGCCACCACAAAATTGTACATTGGCTCCCAACCGGCCTGGGCCAGGGCCAAGGCAGCGGGGGCCGTTCCCTCACTGTTTCCAGGATGGCTTTGCGGGCCACATGAAACCACTTTGCGGGCTGCATCCGGCCCCCGGGCCTTGTGTTTGACACGTCTGTCCTACCCAATGGTAGGAGAGTAAAGAGGTACCAACCAGGGTGTGAGTCATCCCTGAGCATTTTCCTCGCTCTACCAAGTTAACGGGTCCTGGCGATGTCATCCAGTGGTGTCAGGGAACAGCCCACGATGTCTTGTGCCGTGCTAACCACCCTCTAGTACTTTCCTGTCCGCAGCTGTCAAGCCAGCCTACCAAACCGCAATACAGTATGTGAGAACGCTTTCAATAGTAGACCGGTAGAAGAAAGTGGGCAAAGAGGACGTTTGTCCCTCCAGAAGATGCAGATGACTTTGTTTTACTACGGGCCAACATTTCTGTTGCTAAGCCAGATAGGGTATATGTTGAATTTTGCCCCATTTTACAACCTTGCTTGCCATGGTGGTTAAGTGGCTTCCCCATGGACTTTGCATGTCGGAAGATCGCAAAAGGGGATCCTATGACTCCAGGACACGGCAACTGTCATAAATACATACCGGTTGCCAAGGGCCCGGATTTGGATGACGTGACGTGGGGATGTTGCAACAGTCACAAGGGTGAAAAATGGTCATACGTCAGGGCAGTTGTAACGTCCTGAATTTGCAAGTTGTAAGTTGAAGACTACCAGTAGCCATGTTTGGATGATCTGAAGCCAGACCTAACTCTTCTTCTTTCTTTTGGGCTCCAAAGACGATGGCTCCATTCACTGGGAGAGGCCTGCAAAGCCAGAGATGAAGCAGCCTCTGTACTACGAGCGTCGTGCTCCTTCAGCAGAGGTGGAATTAACCAGCTACGTGTTTCTTACTTACCTGAAGAGAGGTCTATCACCATCCGAGGAGGATCTGGCAGCGGCCACGAAGATTGTGACATGGCTTACTAAACAACAGAATCCTTCTGGAGGATTCTCTTCAACACAGGTTGGTGGCTCCCGTTTGTGGGTTCGATATGTCGGGGTGCTTCGGGGTGGGAGAAGAAGACTTCTATCTGAGAGGTGGGGGGTTCTAAGCTGGATTGCAAAACACACTAGTACAGGGGCCCTCCACCTTGGCAACTTTAAAACTTGTGGACCTCAACTCCTAGCTTTACTGGCTGAGGAATTCTGAGAGTTGAAGTCCACAAGTCTTAAAGTTGCCCGCACTAAGTAGTACATGAAGGCCAGGGGAGCAGGGCCGGGACAGCAGCTGGCATCTTTGGATAAAATGACTCTCTCTTGTCCCACTGCTGCTCTTCCTTGGCCTACTACAGAACAGAACAGAACAGAATAGAATCAGAACAGAAGAATAGAATAGAATAGAATAGAATAGAATAGAATAGAATAGAATAGAATAGAATAGAATAGAATAGAATAGAACAGAACAGAACAGAACAGAACAGAACAGAATAGAATAACAGAACAGAATAATAGAATAGGATTGGATAGGATAGGTTAGGATAGAATCAGAATAGAATAGAATAGAATAGAAATAGAATAGAATAGAATAGAATTGAAATAGAATACAATAGAATAGAATCAGAATAGAATAGAATCAATAGAATAGGAATAGAATAGAATAGAATAGAATCAATAGAATAGAATCAATAGAATAGAATAGAATAGAATAGAATAGAATAGAATCGGAGTTGGAAGGGACCTTGGAGGTCATCTAGTCCAACCCCCTGCTCAGTCAGGAAACCCTCTACCATTTCAGACAAGTGGTTTTCCAGTCTCTTCTTAAAACCTTCCAGTCTTGGAGCATTCAAAACTTCCTGATGTGAAGAAAACATGGAGACCGTCTTCTGGCTTCCTACCATTGCATAAGAATGATCTGGGGACCCGGGTGGTCATATTTGTGTTCTTAGGAGAAGAACTCGCCCTGATCTCTTATCTCTCCTCGCAGGACACCGTGGTGGCCCTCCAGGCCCTCTCTTTGTATGCAGCCACGACTTTCTCCCACAGCGCGGAGGGCATCAAAGTGGCCTTGAAGTCTGGTGAGAACAGTCTGAGGGAATTCCAAGTAGACAAGAGCAACAGGATTCTGCTTCAGACCTACGACCTGCCCAGCGTGCCTGGGGAGTATTCGGTCGTCGTGACTGGGAAAGGTTGCGCCTATGTGCAGGTGAGGTTCCTAGGGATCCTTCGGAGAGAAAAGGTGGCGACAGGGTGCAAGGTGACTCCTGTTAGAGAGAAGACAATAACAGAAAAAAAGAGAATGACATAGAAAAATGGGTTCAGTGTCCCCACTCACTTTCAGTTATGGCCACTGCCTACACCAGGGGTGTCAAACTCAATTGCACTGAGGGCCGCATCAGCATAGCAGTTGCCCTCGGGGGGCCAGGTGGGTGTGGCCAAGGTGGGTGCAGCCTACTGGTGGGCATGGATGGAGTGGGTGTGGCCTACTGGGTGGGCATGGCCAACTCTACATCATTCGCGTCAAGGGTGCCTGTGGGGGCCTGGGCAGGAGTGGGACAGATCTGAGAGTCTCTGGCAGAAGGGGGTGGGACTGAGGCAAGCGCCAAGGCATGGTCCATTTCTTCATTCCCCACAAAGGGTGACACCTCCCCAGCATGCACCCAGGGGGCGGGGCCGACACGGCAGGGGCTGGTTCCTCGCTGTTTCCAGACGGCCTTGTGGAGCTAAGATTGAATGCGTTTCAGCATAGATGGCCACCACAAAATTGTACATTGGCTCCCGACCGGCCTGGGCCAGGGCCAAGGCAGCGTGGGCCGTTCCCTCACTGTTTCCAGGATGGCTTCGCGGGCCACATGAAACCACTTTGTGGGCCGCGTCCGGCCCGCGGGCCTTGTGTTTAACATGTCTGGCCTACACTGGCATGTCACCATCAAAAAATTTTCCCTCCAATCCAGAGCAAAAAAAAAATGCTCATCCCTGCTTTAAAACTTAGTAATAATTTCCTGAGGCCAACTATATATTTTCATTGCAGAACATTCTAATTTCTTTGGTATTGGATAAGTCCGCTTCTTAACTGTGGCAATATAACTTATTTTTAACAATATTAAAGCAGCTAAACATCATAAGAGAGACTGCCATAGAACCATTGCTTTGGGAAAGACCATTTGAACCAGTGGTGGGATTCAGCCAGTTCGCAGTATTGTTGTGGGTCAAGTTAATATATTTTAAATATGCTGCCCATGAGCATGGCTTCCAGGCTTCTTCATGGAAACAAAATAGAGCAGCAATAGCAGTAGCACTTATGTTCTATCCCAGCCTATTGCCGTCCTTGTTAAAGGCACAAGGACCAAACCCCTGCTGATACAATAGGCTGGAGACTTTAAAACAAAACAAACCCCTTTTAATATGGGTGACAAACCTGACAAATAGTCCAAAAACACAAACAGCAAAACTCAAGTCCAAAGGAAGGAAATAGTCCACAGGAAACACGATGCAAAGAGAAGAGTAGTCACAAGCAAGACGAACAGACCGGGATTCCAAGAAGCACTTTGCAAACGGTTGCCTTCTGCAACCAGCACCGCCCACACCTCCTCTTTTTATACAGCAGTCCCAAGGCGTTGCCTCTCAGTGCCTTCTCCTTTTACTCTGGAGTAGTCGCATTGACTGCTGCTGATTTACTCTTGCTAATTGACGACGTGTGTGAGCATCAATTAGCAAGTCCATCAGGTGTGAGCCCTCCGAGTCTGACTCATTCTCCTCACACAGCTGAGCTTCATCGGGAGAAGAACTGGAGGGCCCAGGCTCTGCATCAAACCGTGAGTCCTGTAATTCATCGGAGCCTCCCTTTGCCCCTGATGGCCCTTCAAATGCCTCCTCCACCTCCTCCTCAGATCCCTCAGACTCCGCTGTTGGGAGCACAGGCTGGCACGGAATCACAACAACTTACAGTAGACTTCTGTACCGCCCCACGGTGCTTCATAGCCCTCTCCGGGAGGTTTGCAGAGTCAGCATATTGCCCTCAGCCATCTGGGTCCTCATTTCACCAACCTGGGAAGGACGGAAAAGCCGAGTCCGTCAGGGCTGCGGGCAGACTTTGCCTGCAATACTGCACTCTTAATCTCATCAAATGGAATGCACAAAGTTCATTCATAAATTGAAGGATATTGGGGAGGGGGGGAGAAAGGGGATTTTTTTAAAAAATAAAAAACACGCTTTAGTTGTCTGCAAAAAAAGATAACAAGGCTGGCACCAGGCGGGAGCCCTCTCGGATGAGAGATTTAGACACAGGCTCCCTTCCTGAGAAGATTCTGCTTTCTGTGCTAAACGCCTGACTTAGCCCGCTTAGGAATATTTATTTATTTATTTATTTATTTATTTATGAGACTTATATACCGCTTTAAGTGCAAGCACTCTCTAAGCGGTGTACACCAGTAAGCAATGTATATATATATATATATATATATATATATATATATATATTACATTGCCCCCCAACAATCTGGGTCCTCATTTTACCTACCCCGGAAGGATGGAAGGCTGAGTCAACCTTGAGCCAGTGAGATTTGAACCGCTGACCTGCTGAACACAGTCAGCTAAAGTGGCCTGCAGTACTGCCCCCTAACTGCTGCGCCACCTCGGCTCTTAATATGGAGGACAGCAGCCAAAGAGGACCCCCGTTTGCCGTCAGCAAGTAGCTCCTCCTTTCTCTGACGGTCATCGCTCCCTTCAAAATGTAGAAAGCCGTCCCTGCTCCCTCGGGAGGCTCTCTGAACTGCTTGAGTGAGGTGGACGTGGAGTTGAGGCTCTGTCCATTAGCCAGAGAGCGAGAAAAACTCTTCCCACTTTAAAAGGGCAGAGAAAGAGTCCCAAAGGTGCTTTTTCAAAAGGCAACTGGACTTCCTTGTTTTTCCTGGAAGAAGTTTCGCTTCTTATCCAAGAAGCTTCTTCGGTTCTGACCGGATGGTGAAGGATGGAAGGATTTGTATTCCCCGCCGTCATCTGCACTCTTTCTGAGAGCCGTTGAGGCCTTTTGGCGATTCCAAGAAGATCCCACCACCCATTTGCACTACTCAGGTGACTCTGAGGGCACAGATAAGCCTCCAAGTGGCCTCAACGGATCTCAGGAAGAGTGCAGAGGAGTAGATGACCGCAAGGAATATAAATCCTCCATCCATCCTCCTTCGTTCAGACAGAACTGAAGAAGCTTCTTGGATGAGAAGCAAGGGAAAAGACAGTCTAGTTGCCTTCCATGACCTGGAAGACTGAGAATCTCCACAGACATGCAGAGAAATAGGAACCATAGAGAAACGTAGTCCTATGAGAAGAAAGACCTGGAACGGAAGAAGAGTGGTAACCAAGGAAACAGAAAGCAGAAAAGTCCAGCCTTGTTTAAGTAAGAAGGCCCAAGATTCCATCCTTGCATTTCTAGCATGACACGGTAATGCTGAAGAGCTGTTGCTAATCAGGCAATAGCGCCGACTTCAGTCGGTCATGTTTTAAGGTTGTTTTCCTATTGTTGTTGTTCTACTGTGGACACACATCTGCTTCTCTGGTGGGCTTACAAGAAGAAAGCCTCTTTCAACGGAGAGGAAGAACTGTGGCAGTTGTCTTCCATCAGGTGCACTCCAGAAGTGTCGGCATTCAGCTTCTATTGGCAAACTTGGCTGAAAATATTGGAAGCTGAAGGCCGACACATCTGCAGGACATCAGACCGGAGAAGGCTGAGCAATGTGGATCTAGGAAACGATGGCACCAGGAGTCCAGGTGGATGGAGCGGTCCTAGATTTCCTTGAGCAGCAGAAAACCTGCATGGCCTTGTTGTTGTAGTTAGTTGCGAAGTCATGTCGGACCCATCGCGACCCCATGGACAACGTTCCTCCAGGCCTTCCTGTCCTCTGCCATCTTCTGGAGTCCATTTAAGCTCACACCTACTGCTTCAGTGACTCCATCCAGCCACCTCATTCTCTGTCGTCCCATTCTTCTATTGCCCTCAATCTTTCCCAGCATTAGGCTCTTCTCCAGTGAGTCCTTCCTTCTCATTAGGTGGCCAAAGTACTGGAGTTTCAACTTCAGGATCTGACCTTCTCAAGAGCCGTCAGGGTTGATCTCCTCCAGGACTGACCGGTTTGATCGCCTTGTGGCTAATTCACCAACAAAGATGACCCATTAACAAAATATTTCCTCCTCAGACCACCTTGAGGTACAACGTGCTCCCACACCCAGAGGATGACCCATTTGCGCTGACTGTCAACACAATTCCCGAAACGTGTGAAGGAGTCAAGGCCCACAAGGAATACGACATTGTACTGAACGTCAGGTACTTCTCTCGTCAATAAGTCACAGCTGAAGGAGATCTGGCTGCCATTCAAGGGATGTCATAATGTCAGATGGTGTCTTTGGTCTGAAGAACCATGTCCCACGCCGAAGAACCTTGGTTCATATAACTTGCTAATCTAATCTCAGATAAATGTGATTTGTTTGGGGTTCCATATATTGTGGGATCAGGAATTAAAAACCCCACACCCATCTTAACCGGGGCTGACGTGGTTTCTTTTCCCTCTCATTTGTCCAGTTACACCGGCAAACGTCCAGCCTCAAACATGGCGATTATTAGTGTGAAGATGGTCTCTGGATTTGTACCAAATAAGCCCTCTGTAAAAAAGGTAATGGACAGTTTTTGTATTGGGCCTTTCCCCCAAATAACTACTGATTTCTCTTGACTGTGGCATTCCAAAGAATTAAGAGCTGCTGAGTGGAATTTGGCCAAAAATGCCACCATCCAAGATTTATAGCCAAGACGTTGAAATAGAGCAGTGGTTCTCAACCTGTGGGTCGGGACCCCATTTGGGGTCGAACAACCATTTCACGGGGGTCGCCAAACAATGCAGTCTGCCATTTTTTCCCCCTTTTCCCTAGCTGTGCTACTCCCTTTTATTCTATTGGCTTTTGAAAGCCAATAGAATAGACTCTCTTGAATAGAGTCTAATTCTATTGGCTTTCAAAAGCCAATAGGAATTGTCCAGGTTGTTTCTGCCCTGCTGAGCCCACCAAAAGTCCCATTTTGCAAACGGTGCTGCACCAGTTGAGTAGTCCTCGACTTACGACCAGTTGGGGGTCGCGGCATTAAAAAGGTTGAGAACCACTGAAATAGAGTCTCTCTGTGTGGGGAGAGGAAGGGATGGGGAATGGAAATGTGCCCACATTGTTTTATTATAAGGCCATGCCCTCCATGGCAGTGACCATCCCAACATGGTCAGTTAGAAAAGAAGCCATGGCCTAGTCAAAAGTACACTTACTAAAGCAAGTGCTTACAGAAGAAGCAAAGCTAGATCTGGCGTTTCCGTGCCCAAAGCACACGGTTAACTTTCCCTTGTTCCCATCCACACACACACACACACACACACACCGGTTACATCAAGCAGACTCTCACAGGACAGCACGGTTCACGGTTTCATTTTCCCTTAGGCTAGCCCTCCCTTCGTCCCCTCCGGCCGATCTCCCTTCCCCATTGCTATAACAGGCTGACAGCAGGCAACGCAGAGATAGCAGGATGGCAGCCCTGACAGGCAGCCCTTTTGTGAGAAGGACAACAGCCTACGTTCCAACATTGCAAAGCGTGCTGGATATTCCAAGGTGGACCTCTATTGGCCAAGGGCACTTCACCTCTCCAAGATCAAGGCCAGGTTCTCCTTCCAAGGTTTCGGCTGACAACGGTCAACGGCAGATTGCTGCCCCTGATCCATAATAATGAAGAAATCTCCCATTTGTTTTCCGCAGCTGGAAAAGCAGGCTCCGATTAAGCGGGTGGATGTAATCAGCCACTAAAGTGGAGCTGTATTTGGAGAAGGTGAGTGCAGAAAACCAAAATGAGGAGCGGGCGAGCTATAATGATAATGATCACCTTAATGATAATGGAAAGGCCAAAAGAGAGGAAGGGAACTGCTGGGGAATCTGCCCACTGAAATCTTCCTGTGGAGCATGAAAACACTCATACTCCACTTGAAGGTCGAGAGTCATAAACAAAGGAAAAGGGAATTGCTTCGTTCAGGTATTTGGGAAAAGGTACAATAATATAAGAAGCCAACGGGTGCAGTCCAGATATTGGGGCTCCATCCCTTATTCCCCCTTGGTCAGGTTGTGTGGAACTAGTCCGAAACATCTCAGCCTCTCATTGGGTGCCCTGGCGGGCTTCAAAATTTCAATCTTCTAAGCCGGGATAGGCCACCTTGGCTCTTTTAGCACTTGTGGACTTCAACTCCCAGAATTCCTGAGCCGAAGGTTTTTTTCAGGAGGCAACGGACCTTCTGTCTTTTGCTTCTCATCTTAAACAGGATGATCCTAGAGCAGGGGTCTTCAAATGTAGCCCTTTTATAACTTGTGGACTTCAACTCCCAGAATTCCTCAGCCAGGCATGCCTGGCTGAGGAATTCTGGGAGTTGAACTCCACAAGTCCTAAAAGGGCCAAGTTTGAAGACCCTGTCCCAGAGAGTCACTTATCTGAAATGGTATAGGGCAGGGTAGGCAGCCTTGGCTCTTTTATGAATGGTGGACTTCAACTCCCAGAATTCCTGAGCCAGCCATGCTGAGGGGAAAGGGAGAGGTTTCCAAGCTGAGCCAGGCGGGCTCAGGAATTCTGGGAGTTGAAGTCCACCAGTCATAAAAGAGCCAAGGTGGCCTACCCCTGGTCTAAGCAGTACAGGTTGTTCTCGACTTATGACAGTTTGTTTAGTGACCATTCAAAGTTACAATGGTACTGGAGAAAAAAAGTGATTTATGAATGTTTTCACACTTACGACCATTGCAGCCATCTCTGTAGTCATATGATCAAAATTCAGATGTTTGGCAACTGGTGTGTGGCCTTTTGACGAGCAAAGTCGATGCGGAAACCAAATTCCCTTAACAACTGTGTTACTAACTTAACAACTGCAGGAGTTTGCTTAACAACTGTGCGGTTGAAGTGGATTCTGAGGGGTTCGTAGGCCGATGTGTCTGTTGATGGAATTGCTTTGTGGGGTGCCAGGCTTCGACGAGCGTCACGAGCGTGGCGGGCGGGAGGTAGCGTGGCTGATGATTTTACTGTTGCTCCCATCAAACCTGTGTCGGTGTGGGTAGAGATTATATATGCCGCCAAGGGACAAAGGAGCAATAGACTGAAAATGTGCAGATGGACCTTGTCTAAACCGCTCATTTTATCCGCAGCTGACCAACGTCACCGTGCACATCTCGTTCACGGTAGAACGGAGCTTCGAGATCCAGAATCAGAGGCCGGCGTTTGTGCGTGTGTACGACTATTACGAAGGTGAGTTCGGAATATGCGGCTGTGGGTTCTGAATTCGATCCCGCACCACTCCCTGAGGACTCCAAAGCCAAATCCCGAAAGATAGTAAAAGAACAGCTCACGTCCCTTTGGGATGTGAGGGAAAGCCCATTTGATATTAACCATAGTTTCCCTTCACGTTTCCAGATGAATCCACCGTGGTTCCATATAGCGCCCCCTGCAGCAAAGGTACAGTATGGACTCCTTTTGAACTCTTACGACTCTCTTCCCATCTTCTTTCTTTTTTTCTGAGTAGAACCTTCTAAACGCGACCAATTTGCATTTTTATTCTATGGAATAGAATATCATTCCAAAAAAAATCTGCCTTTGGCTTTATGCCAGCGGTCTCCCAACTTGGTAACTTTACACCTTGCGGACTTCAATTCCCAGAATTCCTCCAACCATCCTCAACCTCAACAATTTTTAAAATGTGAGGAGTTGAATTCCCCAGCCAGCAGAAGTACACACTTTTTAAAGTTGCCGAGGTGGAGAAACATTGCTTTAGATTGTCTGCGTCTTTGAAATCCATTTGCTCCTGTAAGGTTTTCCACTTAGCCTCACAATGGCCCCAGCGTTACTCAGGAATTTAAAAGAGCCAAAGAAACTCCTGAGCAGAGGTTTCAGCAAGCAAACAACTTTTATTTTGATCAAAACAGAGTTGGGTGACCCCATCTCTCTTCGTGGCTGGTAGAGAGATGAAGGCAACAACCAGAAAAGATGTCTTCCACCTTTTATACCTTTTCAGAACAAAGAGATCAGGTCTTGGTACTAGGCATAAGATGGCACAAAAACACAATTCCTAGATGATGACTCATACACAGCAACCCAGGCTCCATCCGTAACTCCTTTCCCCCTCCCCTTACTGTGCTCTTTTCATATAAGCAATCACCTATACCTAAAGCAGTGGTTCTCAACCTTTCTAATGCCGCGACCCCATAATACAGTTCCCCATGTTGTGGTGATCCCCAACCACTTATGCATCACCGGGTGCCAGGGGCGTGGCCAAAGAAAAGGGGGAAAAATGGCAGACAGCCTTGTTTGGCGACCCCCGTGAAATGGTGGTTCGACCCCAAATGGGGTCCCGACCCACAGGTTGAGAACCACTGACCTAAAGCATGAAGCCCTTACTTTTCCAATATATTTATATAAAGCATCTGATCAAGCAATTAACTAGAAAATAATGATTACAAAATAACAAAACAATGATTACATGATAACACTATAAGTATCAATATAAAAGGGTTACTATATATAAAATAAATGCTAATGTCAAACTTAAACGTTCTAAAATCATAAGCACAATAAAATCCCTTCACTCCAAAAGATGTTCAGAAAAGTATGCGGACGTGAGGTTGACTTTACCGAATAGCAGTAGCACGCAGACTTATATACCGCTTTACAGTGCTTTACAGCCCTCTCTAAGCGGTTTACAGAGTCAGCATATTGCTTCAACAATCTGGGTCCTCATTTTACCGAAGGATGAAAGGCTGAGTCAACTTTGACCTGGTGAGAATTGAACTGCCAAACTGCTGGCAGCTGGCAGTCAGCAGAAGTAGCCTGCAGTACTGAATTCCAACCACTGCGCCACCATGGCTCTAGGCCCTTATTTGATTACTTTGAACATGGCTCAGTGTGTCAGGTTGATAAGCTAATGTTCATAATTTACATTAATAAGTGAAGCTAGCCTTTGTTTTATTCAAGAACTTACACTTAAATCGTGTCTTTGGGCCAGGGCTGTTCACTCACTGTTTCCAGGATGGCTTCGCGGGCCACATGAAACCACTCTGCGGGCCACATCCGTCCTCCGGGCCTTGTGGTTGACATGTCTGGCTTAGCTGATCTTGTGATGGTCTTTTCTTTCCCACAGTTAAGTCTGGGAACGCATGATGAACAGAGTCGCCCTCCACCGTCTCCCAGTTAGTCCCAAAGATGCTTTCCTTCCCAACCTGATGAGAAAGCAACAGGCAGAAGACGGCCACCCAAAGACCCAAGAAGAATCAGGTGCCCTCTGGGCGTCTTCCTTCATCTACCGCTTTACGAGCCCCAAGGAATTTGAGGCACGCTACCGGCTTCACCTTCTCTCCAGTTGGGTCTGGAAAAACAAACATCTGGCATTTGCTGTTGTCTCCTCTGGGGGTGGAAAGAACAAAACAAATAAATAAATGTATGGATTTCATCAGCTTTGTTTCGAATCCATCTTTCACGTGGGTTTCCCTAATACAGGGGTCGGCAAACCTTAAACACTCAAAGAGCCACTTGGACCCGTTTCCCAGAGAAAAGAAAGCACTGGGAGCCGCGCATGAGGGGGGGGGGAGCTTGATTGAAGAGTTTAATTAAAAAGAAATAGAGGCTGCTGTGTATGAGTTGTCTCTCTCTCTCTCCCCTCCCTCTTTGTCTCTCTCTCTGTCTCTCTCTCTCTCTCTGTGTCTCTCTGTGTCTCTGTCTCTCTGTCTCTCTCTCACCTCCTCTCTCTGATCTTCTGCTCACCTGGCAAGCTGGCTTCATGCTGTTGTCCGACAAGCTGACATACATTCTTATTGGGCTGGCTTTCTCCTGCCCTTGTCTGCCAGTCCTCTTCCCCCATTCAGTGTGTGTGTGTGTGTGTGTGTGTGTGTGTGTGTATGAGAGAGAGAGAGAGAGAGAGAGAGAGAGAGAGAGAGAGAGAGAAGGGAAGCGCAAGTGCCTCTAATAATAATAATAATAATAATAATAATAATAATAATAATAAGTTGGAAGGTACCTTGGAGGTCATCTAGTCCAACCCCCTGCTCAGGCAGGAAACCCTGTACCAGAGCTTTTCAACATTTTCACCCATTGTACCACTTTTAGGATATGGCAATATCTGAGTACCACCAGTCGCCTACCAAGGTGTCAAAAAATTTACCCCAAAAAAAGTGATGAAGTACAGGTAGTCCTCGACTTATAACAGTTCGCTTAGTGACTGTTCAAAGTTACAACGGCACTGAAAAAAATGTACCCCAAGCCACAGCCGAGCAAGACACCTGCCTGCCCACCCGGCGGTGCTCTTCCTCCTGTCCGAGGGGGGTATTTGGTTTTTATTCCCCCCATCTGCTGGGTGGTTGCAGCAGGTTTTGGTCACTTCACATGACCCTGGGACACTGTGACTGTCATAAATATGAATCAGTTGCCAAGCATCTGAATGTTAATCACAAGACCCTGGAGATGCTGCAACATTCCAGCTGATTGGTGTTTCTTCTGAGCTCAGCAGAAGCACCAGGATCAGCACCGAGCTCCAGCTGGAGCTTGGTGCTGATCCTGGCGCTTCCACTGAGCCCTTGACAGCCCTGCAGCTCCAGCCATCTCTCGCTCAGGCTTGTGCGGTGCTGCCACCGGTTCAGTTCATTCCCCTCTCCTACTACCATTTTTCTAGGATGGTCGCATACCACCTGCCAGGTGCCAATGTACCACAGGTGGTACCCATACCATTGGTTGAAAAGCCCTGCCCTATACCATTTCAGACAAATGGCTGTCCAGTCTCTTCTTAAAAACTTCCAGTGTTGGAGCATTCACCGCTTCTGGAGGCAGTTTGTTCCATTGGTTAATTGTTCTAACTGTCAGGAAGTTTTTCCTTAGTTCTAGGTTGCTTCTCTCTTCGGTTAGTTTCCATCCGTTGCTTCTTGTCCTGCCTTCAGGCACTTTGGAGAATAGCTTGACTCCCTCTTCTTTGTGGCAGCCCCTGAGATACTGGAACACTGCTATCATGTCCCCCCTCGTCCTTCTCCTCATTAAACTAGACATACTCAATTTCAGCAACCGTTCCTCTCTCTGTCTCTGCAAATGGCGGAGGAGGCTGGGAGCCACAGGAGAAGGCTCAAAGAGCCACATTGCGACTCTGGAGCCGCAGGTTGCCGACCCGTGCCCTAATAGCAACAGGCTTGCTGTGGCTAAGAGTGAAAATGCAACCTCTCTAGAGGTTCTGGAGAAGATTGTTCAAACTGATTGGAATTCGACGGCTTGTAAAATCTGTTTTGTTCCAGTGGGGACCCTTACCTATTCCAACCCAAAACTCCGGGTCCTGATTGGGCAGAAGTGGAGGGAGTGATAGACCAAGCTCAGAGTCAACAGAAAGCGGTTCACCTGGATACGTCTATGGAGATCCTCAATCATCCAGATCATAGTTCTTCCAAAGACGCTTTTCCACACGGCAACTGGACTTTGTTTTTCTCTGAAGACGTTTCGCTTCTCATCCAGCCCAGTTGCCTCATTAAAAAAACCACCTTGGGATCACCTGGATAGTTTCCCTCCACCTTTCAGGTTACCTAAGGACCTGTGAGCAAGCTACTCTGATTATGTAACAGTGATCTAAACCAGGGTTTCATCACCTTGGCAATTTTCAATGTCAAGAATTCTCCAGCTAGCAACTTCAGCAGAGGTTCCACACACAAGTTAAAACTTGCTGGCCTGGGCGAGTCTGTGAATTGAAGTTCCCACATGTAAAAGTTGCCAAGGTTGGGAAACATTGATCTAAACCAGGGGTACGCCACCTTGCCTCTTTTATGACTCGTGGACTTCAACTCCCAGAATTCCTGAGCCAGCCATGCTGAGGGGAAAGGGAGAGGTTTCCAAGCTGAGCCATGCTGGCTCAGGAATTCTGGGAGTTGAAGTCCACGAGTCATAAAAGAGCCAAGGTTGCCTACCCCTGGTCTAAGGGCTATTCTAAGTGTTATTTATATAGCCTAGGGCAGGTATAGGCTATCTTGGCTCTTTTGTGACTCGTGGACTTCAACTCCCAGAATTCCTGAGCCAGCAGGGCTCAGCTTGGAAACCTCTCCCTTTTCCCTCAGCTTGGCTGGCTCAGGAATTCTGGGAGTTGAAGTCCACGAGTCATAAAAGAGGCAAGGTTGCCTACCCCGATCTAAACTGAGAAAAATCCTCTTTTCTACTACCGGCTAGATACCATGGAAAGAAGAAAAAAAAAAGGCACACCCTCTCTGTTTCAACAAGTTTTGGCAATCTGGTGTCTTCCTGACATTTTTAGGCTCCTTCATTCCTGTCCACCAATCAGTGTATCTACGTGTAGTGTGTGTGTGTTGCGTCAGGGTATGAGAACTGACACCCAAAGCCTCTGGAGGGCAACACGTTCATTGCCCCACTCTTCCAGATTGCCCCTTCTTAATGTCCTCCACAGCTCAGAACTGCTTGCATGGAAAAGGCAAATCAAATTTTGCTTAAATTAAAAGATTAGGAAGTTTGGATCTTGACAACACAAAACTGCCAGGAAACTCACAATTTTCTGTCTATTCCCATCACCTTACCTCTCCCCTTGTATAAAAGCAGTGATTGTTGTTGTTAATTGTGAAGTCGTGTCCGACCCATCATGACCCCATGGATAACGTTTCTCCAGGTCTTCCTGTCCTCTACCATTTTCTGGAGTCCATTTAAGTTCACACCTACTGCTTCAGTGACTCCATCCAGCCATCTCATTCTCTGTCGTCCCCTTCTTCTATTGCCCTCAATCTTTCCCAGCATTAGGCCCTTCTCCAGTGAGTCCTTCCTTCTCATTAGGTGGCCAAAGTATTTGAGTTTCAACTTCAGGATCTGGCCTTCTAAAGAGCAGTCGGGGTTGATCTCTTCTAGGACTGACCGGTTTGAACGCCTTGCAGTCCAAGGGACTCGCAGGAGTCTTCTCCAGCACCATAGTTCAAAGGCCTCAATTCTTTGGCGCTCAGCCTTTCTTATGGTCCAACTTTCACAGCCATACATTGCAACTGGGAAAACCATGGCCTTGACTATGCACTTTTGTTGGCAGGGTGATGTCTCTGCTTTTTAGTATACTGTCTAGATTTGCCATAGCTTTCCTTCCCAGGAGCAAGCGTCTTTTAATTTCTTGGCTGCAGTCCCCATCTGAGGTGATCTTGGAGCCCAGGAAAATAAAATCTGTCACTACCTCCATTTCTTCCCCATCTATTTGCCAGGAATTGAGAGGGCCGGATGCCATGATTTTGGTTTTCTTAATGTTGAGTTTCAAGCCAACTTTTGCACTCTCCTTCTTCACCCGCATCAAGAGGCTCTTTAGTTCCTCTTCACTTTCTGCCATTAGAGTGGTATCATCTGCATATCTTAGGTTGTTGATATTTCTCCCGGCAATTTTAATTCCAACTTTTGATTCATCTAGCCCTGCCTTTCTCATGATGTGCTCTGCATATAAGTTAAATAGGCAGGGCGACAGTATACAGCCTTGCCGGACTCCTTTTCCAATTTTGAACCAATCAGTGGTTCCGTGTTCGTTCTCACTGTTGCTTCTTGACCCGCATATAGGTTTCTCAAGAGACAAATGAGATGGTCTGGTACTCCCATCTCTTTAAGAACTTGCCACAATTTGTTGTGATCCACACAATCAAAGGCTTTTGCATAGTCAATGAAGCAGAAGTAGATGTTTTTCTGGAACTCCCTAGCTTTCTCCATGATCCAGTGTATGTTGGCAATTTGATCTCTAGTTCCTCTGCCTCTTCGAAATCCTGCCTGTACTTCTGGTAGTTCTCGATCCACATACTGCTGGAGTCTAGCTTGTAGGATTTTAAGCATAACTTTACTAGCATGTGAAATGAGTGCAATGGTGCGATAGTTTGAACATTCTTTGGCATTGCCTTTCTTTGGAATTGGAATGTAAACTGACCTTTTCCAATCCTGTGGCCACTGTTGATTTTTCCAAATTTGCTGGCAAATTGAGTGTAGCACTTTTACTGCATCGTCTTTTAAGATTTTGAATAGCTCAGCTGGAATACTGTCACCTCCACTAGCTTTGTTGTTGCTCAGATTTTCTAAGGCCCATTTCACTTCACATTCTAGGATGTGAAGCAGTGATAACCGCAAGGAATTCAAACCAAAGGCAGAAGGGAAAAAAACACAGGGAACACCAGGAAAATTTCGAGAATAGAGGATAACTGTAGAAAATGAATTCATTAATTTATTTAAAGGACACACCTGTCACTCATCTCCTGTATTATAAGCCTGGGTGATTCACAAAAGCAGCCAAAAGATCCCTCCCCACACTTTTAAAAAACCCACACACAAAAGTTTTGGTGTTGGGCTTCAGCCTCACCCTAGCCCAGGGGTGGGCAACCTTGGCTCTTTTATGACTTGTGGACTCCAACTCCCAGAATTCCTGAGCCAGCCATGCTGAGGGGAAAGGGAGAGGTTTCCAAGCTGAGCCAGGCTGGCTCAGGAATTCTGGGAGTTGAAGTCCACGCGTCATAAAAGAGCCAAGGTTGCCTACCCCTGCCCTAGCCCAACGTTTGGGGTATTAGAGAATCAGATAAAGTTGTTTCAACTTGCATTTAACAATATGGCAGGAGGGAGAGATGGAAAATGATTAATTTGCGGGCTGCTTTTTTTGTGAAATTAGACTATCAGCTCCAGAAGTTGCTACTGGTGCTTTATGGCATAATGCTTTTTTAAAAAAAATATTGTATACATATAGGGTTGGTAGAGGTATGTAATTGTTTTGAATTTCAAAAACAGGCTTTGAAAAGTACAGTTTAAATTCAGTCTCTGACCACAACTCTTTAAAGTAGCTTTTTGTGGGCTGTGCCAGGGAAAAGATGCAGCTGCTTTAAAGAGCAGCAGACCTAGATTCTGTTTACTCTTCCACATCTCTTGAAATATCTTTTCCAAATTATCTCTGAAATCCTTTATTGGGGGAGGGGGGAAGGAAACTGAATCTAACGAGACACAAAGCCCTAATAGTTTATATTTGGGTGAATAACATGGAAAATAGAGAGGGTTCTGTGGATGCATTGATCCTGGGATATAAAAAGTACTTACCTATACGAGAATGACTGGCAGAACCGGGGGTGGAATCGAAAGAGAAATCAGCCTAGAATCTCTACATAGCTACAAACAAAATCCAACCTCTCTCAAATTCTGCTGAACCTCAGGAATAGCCAACACTCCTGGCAGGAATAGCCAATACTCCAGAAGACAGGCTTAGGATACAGGAGGATCTGGACAGACTTGAACACTGGGCGCTATCTAACAAAATGAAATTCAGTGGTGAAAAAAGTAAGGTTCTACATTTAGGTAAGAAAAACCAAATGTACAGGTATAGTATAGGGGGTACCTTGCTCAATAGTAGTAACTGTGAGAGGGACCACGGAGTCCTAGTGGACAATCACTTAAATATGAGACAGCAGTGTGCTGCAGCTGCCAAAAAAGCCAACACAGTGCTAGGCTGCATTAACAGAAGGATAGAATAAAGATCACGTGAAGTATTACCACTCTACAATGCCTTGGTAAGGCCACACTTGCAATACTGCATCCAGTTTTGGTCACCACGATGTAAAAAAGATGTTGAGATTCTAGAAAGAGTGCAGAGAAGAACAACAAAGATGATCAGGGGACTGGAGGCTAAAACATATAAGGAATGGTTGCTGGAATTGGGTATGTCTCGTTTAATTAAGAGAAGGACGAGGGGGGACATGATAGGAGTGTTCCAATATCTCAGGGGCTGCCACAAAGAAGAGGGAGTCAAGCTATTTTCCAAAGCGCCTGAAGGCAGGACAAGAAGCAACGGATGGAAACTAATCAAGGAGAGAAGCAACCTAGAACTAAGGAGAAACTTCCTGACAGTTAGAACAATTAACCAGTGGAACACCTGCCTCCAGAAGTGGTGAATGCTCCAACACTGGAAGTTTTTAAGAAGAGACTGGACAGCCATTTGTCTGAAATGGTATAGGGTTTCCTGCCTGAGCAGGGGTTGGATTAGATGACCTCCAAGATCCCTTCCAACTTTTTTATCATCATCATCATCATCTAGTACCAAAATAGTACTGTTAGTTGACTAGATTCCTCTGCATATGCATGAGCAATTAATCAGTTTAATTAGCCCTGGTCATTCGAGTCTCACATTACCCTTCACGTTGAGATGAAAACCCATAAAAACAAGAAAACCTTGGATTAAAGTTGACACAAGCAACATGGACATTTCATAACCAAAGTTGGTTCGAGCAATATGGACATTTCATCGGTGTACACAAATAAACAAGAATATCCGGGGAGGTATTTTTCGAGGCAGGTTATTTATTTTGATATGCCAAAATTAAAAAAAAAAAGAGTGACTCTCTGAGTTGCTTACATTTTTAGCCAAACTTTGTCAACTTTAGCGGCTTGAAGAGTTGTGGATTTCAACTCCCAGAATGCATGCTAGCTGAGGAATTCTGGGAGTCCTAAAAATTATTGAGACTGACAAAACACCACTTTAGGGTTAAGAGCATCTAAGTGTAGCTGGGATTAGGGTCACTTTTGAGTACAATCGATTTAAAGAAAAGATACTTTTAAAATCATCCAGTCTGTTCTTGGTATTATTGTTATTATTTATAAATTTTTAAACATTCTCTGGGTGCAAGGATTCCTTGTCTGATTCTCATTATCATTCTCCAACCTTGGCAACTTTTAAGACTTGTGGATTTCAACTCCCAGAATTCCTCAGCCAACAAGCATTCTGGAAGTAGACGTCCACCACATCTTCAAGCTGCTAAAGTAGCCTGGCTAGCTGAGGAATTCTGGGAGTTGAAGTCCACAAGTCTTAGCAAGTTGTCAAGGCCGGAGACTCCTGTTTTACACCATCTGTGCGCATTATGCCCTGCGGACCATTTTTATCATCTCTCCCCTGTGTGAATGGTCTGGTGCTTCTTCAAATTTCCCATCTGGCTGAAGTCTTTCCCACACAAAGGGCATTTGTACGGTCTCTCGCCTGTGTGAATCCTCTGGTGCTTTTTTAAGTCCCCTCCCAGGTTGAAACCTTTCCCGCACTGAGGGCAGTTGTAGGGTCTCTCTCCCGTGTGAGTCCTTTGATGGTTCTTCAAAAGGACCGCTTGGATGAAGCACTTGCCGCACTGCAAGCATTTGTAGGGCTTCTCTCCAGTATGAATTCTCTGGTGGGTCTTTAAATTTCCCTTCTGGTTGAAGCATTTTCCGCAGTAAGAGCATTCATAGGGTTGCTCGCCGGTGTGAATGCGTTGGTGATTCTTCAGATCCCCTTTCTGAGTGAAGCCTTTCCCACACTGAGAGCATTTGTTCATTCTCCCTTCCGTCCTGGGATCCTGAGTTCTGTTTAGCGGCTGCATGTAAACGAAATTCTTCCTGCTTTCAGCGTCGCTATTTGGCTTCCAACCTTCCCGGAGGGTCGGAAATATCTTCAAACAGCTCCCTCTCCCGTGTTGGGAGACTTCATAGCTTTGATTTGCTGTGAGGATTTTTTCCGGTTTATCGAAGCGTGAATTATGCGGCAGGTTTTCCTCTGTCGCGGGGCGCATTTTGTATTCCTCTCTGGAATGTTCCGTTCCGAGTTCAAACCTGTAGCGATATTTTCTACCATAATAGGAGAACGATGGCATTTTATCCCAAGTGGGCTTTGTGATTCTTTCGATGATGGCAGCCGTACTACTCCCGGCATGCCGAGTGCATTCATTCTGGATTTGGGATTCGTTTCTTCCCTCTGGTCTTTCCATGGCTGGTGCTACGTTCCCCAAATTCAGCAGTGGAAAGGCCTCGTGGGCTTCTTCTGGTTTCTTTTCTTCATCCTGAATATTCTCCACTTTCACCAAACTTCTCTTTCCATCACCTAGGGCAACAAAGAAAATATTTTTTTCTCCTGATCGGCTGGCTCTTTTCAAGATTCCTATTCCACCCAGTCACAGACCTTTTTCTCGTGAATTTGTTCATTAAAATTCAGCCTACCTGAGGGTAATCTGGACCAGCCCCTCCTCATCAACCTTCTGAACTACAGTAGTGGCCAAAATTGTGGAAACCTTTTGGGAAAAGTGTATTTTTGAGGTTTGATGGCTAATAACGCCACTTTTTTTTGGAGTAGTACCATAAAATTATATATCAATGGAAAGATAATTTAATCAAGAATGTAATGCAACAAAGTTTGTTCAATTATCTGAACTGTATTCTATGAAACGTTATAGCCAAATAACCAGAAAAAGGAAGCACAACTTGCTTAGGTTGATCTCAGGTAGCTTTCCTTCATCTGATTGTAGCCAATGAGCACGAGTGTTTAGAGAGCCAATCAGGTGTCATCTTGTTTTGGCAATGAGCCAATCAGATCACAGTAGGGTTCAGTGATTGATGTCATATATTGAAGCTGAAAGGAGGACGTTTCTCAGTGTGTTTTGTGATCACTTATCAAGTTGGTTTGGGTAGTCCTCGACTTACAACCGTTCATTTAGTAGTGACCATTCAAAGTTACAGCGACATTGGAAAAAAGTGAATGAGGACCGTGTTTCACACTTAGGACCATTGCAGCATCCTCATGGTCAGGGGTAGGCAACCTTGGCTCTTTTATGACTCGTGGACTTCAACTCCCAGAATTCCTGAGCCAGCATGGCTCAGCTTGGAAACCTCTCCCTTTCCCCTCAGCATGGCTGGCTCAGGAATTCTGGGAGTTGAAGTCCACGAGTCATAAAGCGGCCTAGGGCAGGGGAAGGCAACCTTGGCTCTTTGATGACTCGTGACTTCAACTCCCAGAATTCCTGAGCCAACATGGCTCAGCTTGGAAACCTCTCCCTTTCAATTCAATTCAATTCAATTCAATTCTGGGAGTTGAAGTCCAAGAGTCATAAAAGAGCCAAGGTGGCCTACCCGTGCTCATGGTCATGTGATCAGAATTCAGACGCCTGGCAACTGACTCGTATTTATGACAGTGGCTGTATCCTAGGGTCACATAATCCCCTTTTGCGGCCTTCTGACAAGCCAAACCAATGGGGAAAGCCAGATTCATTTAACGACCGGGTTACTAACTTAACAACTGCAGTGATTCACTTAACAACCATGGCACAGAAAGGTCGTAGAATGGGGCAAAACTCACTTAACAAATGTCTCACTTAGCCACAGAAATTTTGGGCTCAATTGCAGTCGTTTTTCGAGGACTAAACTGTATAACAAACGGGCAAGCAGAATGGCAACCGAGGGAGCATCCATCCAATAACAGCTCATAGGGTTGACTAACCTCCTGATTTCCATCTTGGGGAAACAAAGATGTCTGAACAGGCTCTGACTCTTGAGCCAACTGGATCAGGGGAAGCTTATCAGATTTTCTGAGGAGAAAATTCTTACCAAGACCACCAGCGTTCCCACCGTCCTCTTGGAGGACTTTCCAAGCAAAGGTCTCTTGGCTCGGCTGGGTGAGGTGCCGCTTGACGATTTGCAAAGACGCAACTGTTTTGGGATGTTCCGTACAACTCTGCGGTAGGAAAAAAAGATACAGATAATCCTTGAGTTATGCTCATAATGGAGTCTGCCCATTACAATCGTTAAGTCATAACGGTCATGAAACCGATCAGTCACGCGACTGACCTGATTTTTACATTTTTTTTTTGCAGGGGTCATTAAGAAACCGGTGGTTGCTAAACAAATCCACTGCTCACTAGGGTGCAGGTTTGCCAAGCACCCAAAGCAGAGATAGACAACCTTGGCTCTTTTATGACTCGTGGACTTCAGCTCCCAGAATTCCTAAGCCAGCCATGCTGAGGGGAAAGGGAGAGGTTTCCAAGCTGAGCCAGGCTGGCTCAGGAATTCCGGGAGTTGAAGTCCACGAGTCATAAAAGAGCCAAGGTTGCCCACCCCTGGTCTAAGGGCTATTCTAAGTGTTATTTATATAGCCTAGGGCAGGTGTAGGCCATCTTGGCTCTTTTGTGACTCGTGGACTTCAACTCCCAGAATTCCTGAGCCAGCCATGCTGAGGGGAAAGGGAAAGGTTTCCATGCTGAGCCAAGCTGGCTCAGGAATTCTGGGAGTTGAAGTCCATTAGTCATAACAGAGCCAAGGTGGCCTACCCCTGACCCAAAGCATGATCATACGAAGGGGAGGGGTGACCACCGGAACTTTGGATCCAGATCCTAAGTCCTCTGTCAGGGGTGGGGACCCTCGACTCTTTTATGACTTGTGGACTTCAACTCCAAGAATTCCTGAGCCAACATGCCTGGCTCAGGAATTCTGGGAGTTGAAGTCCACAAGTCATAAAAGAGCCAAGGTGGCCTACCCCTGTCCTAGACCAACATCTCCATCGCTTTTCTTAACCAGGGCAATTTTAGGATGTGTGGACTTCAATTCCCAGAATTCCCCAGCCAGCATGACTGGCTCAGGAATTCTGGGAGTTGAAGTCCACAAGTCATAAAAAAACCAAGGTTCCCCACCCGAGATAGGCCGTAACTTAGCAGCCGGTGGTAAATCAAGGAGCATTGTAGTTCTTTACCTATAATGGACAACCCAAGAAGCAAGGTTCAGTTTCATTAACTGGGTTTAATGCCAAAGGGGAAAAAAGGAGTGGGTATGGGATATGTTGAGACTCTAGAAAGAGTACAGAGAAGAGCAACAAAGATGATTAGAGGTCTGGAGGCTAAAACATATGAGGAACGGCTGCTGGAATTGGTATGTCTAGTTTAATGAAGAGAAGGACTAGGGATGACATGAAAGCAGAGTTCCGGTATCTCAGGGGCTGCCACAAAGAAGAGGGAGTCAAGCTATTTTCCAAAGCGCCTGAGGCAGGACAAGAAGCAATGGATGGAAACTAATCAAGGAGAGAAGCAACCTAGAACTAAGGAGAAACTTCCTGACAGTGAGAACAATTAACCAGTGGAACAACCTGCCTCCAGAAGTGGTGAATGCTCCAACACTGGAAGTTTTTAAGAAGAAACTGGACAGCCATTTATCCAAAATGGGATAGGGTTTCCTGCCTGAGCAGGGGTTGGACTAGATGACCTCCAAGGTCCATTCCAACTTTTTATTATTATTAATTATATAGAATTTTGGAAACCCAATAAGCAAGACTTCAAATCCTTGCAGATGAGTGAAATTGTGAGTCAGGACTTTCTCCAAATATTTGAACACTTTTGGCTTAGTTCACTTCACTTTTTCATCGGGGAAGACGGAAAACACAGACGTGCTCTTTATTCTGAGAAAGATGCAGCTCCTTTAATGAGCTGCAGGTAGATCGTTCGCAGCTGTTTCTTGTGTTCGCAAATGGAAAAATAGAAATGCATCCACCTGGAGGCTAATTACCTTTCTCTCACCATTTAGGACCCTCCCCTGTCCTTCTGAAGAATGAGACGAATTAGCTTCATTTGGAGATTGGATTCCAAGGCCTGCAAGGGATGGAAAACAGAATGTAGAAGGTGAGTTGGCTCTTTTGCTTTGTTCAAAATGAACAGGCACAAAATACGACAAAGAGCTTTCATACACCGCTAAGAAAAAAAAGGGATTTTTTTCGAAGGAAGACCAGTGACTGAATGGGGAAAATGGGCTTTTCTGAAACTTAAATTCTCTGTGGTCTTGTCTTCCTCCCTTACCACAAGGGAACCTAACTATTAATTCTCTTACTATTTAATTTGATCCTTTCTTGCAATAAATATGAGGCATCTCCCTCTCTCTCTCTCTCTCCCTCCCTCCCTCCCCCTCCCTCTCTCTCGCTAAGGAAATCTCTGCAGTTGCTAAGTGACACAGGATGTCATTAAGTGGATCTGGCTTTCCCCATTGACTTTTACTCATCGGATGCTGGCTGGGAAGGGTACAAATGGGGATCACGTGACTCCGAGACACTGCAACCATCATCCATACATGTCAGTTGCCAAGTGCCCAAATTTTGATCACAAGATCATGGGGATGCTGCAACAGTTGTTAAGTGTGAAAATCGGTCATAAGTCCGATTAGGTGTTGGTTATTAAAGCTCTATATGGCTGTTTGCGAGACAGCCTACCACCTCATAGTTCCCTTCGTCTGGTTAGATCCCACAGGCTGGGCCTCCTTCAGGTCCCGTCGCCCAAGCAGTGCCATTTGGCGGAGCCGCGGGGGAGGGCTTTCTCTGTGATGGCGCCCACGTCTTGGAACCAGCTTCCCCCGGAGATTAGGACTGCTCCCACCCTGTTGGTTTTCCGCAAGCTGCTTAAGACCTGGCTTTTCCGGCAGGCCTGGGGTTTATAAAATCTGACCCCTGGATGACTGTAATTGTACTGTTCGTTTTGTTAAGTTATATTGTGTTTTTATTGTTAGCTGCCCGGAGTCCTTCGGGAGTGGGGCGGTCTATAAATTTTAATAAAATAAAAATAAATAAATAAATAAATAAATAAATAAGTCACTTATTTTCAGGGCCATTATAACTTGTTTCACTAAACCACGGGTCTCCAAACTTGGCCCTTTTATGACTTGTGGACTTCAACTCCCAGAATTCCTCAGCCAGACCCCTAGTCTACATTTAGGCAAGAAAAACCAAATGCAGGGGTATAGTAGAGGTCAAGGGTCGGCAACCCGCGGCTCCGGAGCCACATGTGGCTCTTTCAGCCTTCTCCTGCGGCTCCAGTCTTCCTCCGCCATTTGCAGAGAGAGAGACAGAGAGGCACACTCTCTCTCTCTCTCTCTCTCTCTCCCTCCCTCCGTGTGTGTGTCTGTGTATATATGTACAGGTCATCCTTGACTTACAACAGTTCACTTGGTGACCGTTTGAAGTTACAAAGGCACTGAAAAAAGTGACGTATTACCATTTTTCACACTTATGACCGTTGCAACAACCCCATGGTCATGTGACGTACGTTCGGATGCTTGACAACTGACTCATTTATGACGGTTGCCGTGTCCCGGTGTCATGTGATTATCTTTTGCGACTTTCTGACAAGCCAAGTCCATGGGGAAGCCAGATTCACTTAACAACCATGTTACTAATTTAACGGCTGCAGTGATTCACTTAGCAAATGTGGCAGGAAAAGTCATAAAACAAATTTCTTGCTTAGTGACCAAAATTTTGGGCCCCATTGAGGCCGTAAGTTGAGGACTACCTGTATGTATCCATGTATAGCAATAGCAATAGCATTTAGGCTTATATACTGCCCCATAGTACTTTACAGCAATCTGACAGTTTATAATGTAAGCATTATTTGCATATTTGCCTCAACCACTGGGGTCCTCATTTTACCGACTTAGGAAGGATGGAAGGGTGAAGTCAACCTTGAGCTGTTCAGAACTGAACTCCAGACTGTGGGCAGAGTCAGCTTGCAATATTGCAATAACCACTGTGCGCTACCACTATAATTAGAAGAATCGTTTTGATGAAGTTTCGCCGATCAGCTCACATCTCACAAGCTTTATCCAAGGAGAAATAAACGTCAGCGAAAAATAAAAACAGAATTTGAAAAAAAAAAAATCAAAATTTCCATTTCTGCAAAAACAGAGGCAGCTTTAGGAAGTCAGATTGCTTTTCAAGAGGTCAATAAGAAAGGACCAACTCCCATCCGATGCCCCGTGACGTCTGAGGCAGCCATTTTGCACATCACCTCTTGGACGGCCATCTTTAAAGTGTCTCCTCTCCGCCTCTTCATGTGGCCCCAAGAACTCCGGGCGCTCCGCATTTAAGGACCTCTGAAAGAGTAAAAATGATCCAGTTCAGAACACAAGGACGTGGCAGGGGAAGTAATTCCTGTGGGAAGAGACATTTATGGATCTCTCCAATCTGTTTTTTTTTCTCCCAATAAACTGATTTTCGCCATGAAATGAAATAGCTCAGTAGTTACATCATAACCTGTACTAATACACGGAGCCCTTGGCTTATGACTGAAATGGAACTTGCTCGCTATAGTCATAAGTTGTGATGGTTGTAAAGTGGGTCATCACACGACCGATCTGATGTTAAGACCTCAAGATAGAAATCAGGAGATTGTGAGTTCTAGTCCTTCCCTCCTTCCTTCCCTCCCTCCCTCCCCCATTTATTAAACTTTTATGTCACTACAAGGTGACCCTTCCTTCCTCCCTCCCTCCCTTCCTCCCTATTTATTAAACTTTTATGTCACTACAAGATGACTCTTCCTTCCTTCCTTCCTTCCTTCCTTCCTTCCTTCCTTCCTTCCTTCCTTCCTTCCTTCCCTCCCTCCCTCATTTATTAAACTTTTATGTCACTACAAGGTGGCCCTTCCTTCCTTCCTTCCTTCCTTCCTTCCTTCCTTCCTTCCTTCCTTTCCTCCCTCCCTCCATTTTATTTATTAAATTTTTATGTCACCCCTCTCCCCTACAAGGTGACTCTGGGCGACCTTAGGCAGTCACTTAAGGATGACCTTAAGCCAGTCACTTTCTCTCAGCCCTAGGAAGGAGGCAATAGCAAACCACTTCTGAAAAATCACACCAAAAAAACTGCAGGGACTTATCCAGGCAGTCTCTGAGAACTGGAAAAGACTGAATGGGGGGGGGGAGGTAAAGTCTATCTTAATTTTCAGGGAGTAGGAACGAGTATTCATATATATATAGATTAATAACTGGTGCACATCACCTGCCACCTGCCTGGCTTGACGTCTTGCTGGCTCCTCAGGGACTCCTCCATCAGGGCCACCGCCTGGGAACAGGTGTCTGGTCCTCCTGCCCGGATCCAGCTCTGGAGGTCCGATGGGAGGCTGGCCAGGAACTGCTCCAGGATCAGCAGCTCCAGAATCTGCTCCTTGGTGCGTCTCTCCGGCCTCAACCATTGGCGACAAAGCTCCTGGAGCTGGCTGTGGATCCTCCGGGGGTCTTCCGTATCCTGGCAGCAGAACTGTCGAAAATGCTGTCGCTGCTTCTCTGTTCTCAGGGCTTCCCCTCGCAAGATGGCGGCCTTGACTTTCCCATAATCCTCTTGGGTTTTAGCATCCAGGCTACGGAAGGCCTCTTCCACCCCTCCGCTCAGAGCTGGCCGGAGACGGGCCGTCCATTCTCCACTGGGCCACCGGCAGGCAGTGGCCACCTGCTCAAAGGAGGCCAGGAAGGCCTTGGGGTCTTCCCAGGGAGAGGCCTCTGACATCATCACGGGGTTTCCTCCCCTTCCTGGATGGAGCGTCCTCAGGAACGCCTGCCACTGGGCCTCCCAGTGTTCTTCCATCCCCCGCCAAGGCTCCATTTTGATTTTTTGTGATGCTCCGCATGCTGGCAGCTCCGTCATATACAGAGGCTGAACCAGGCTGGTGGGCTTTCCTGCTCTGTCTTCCGTCTCTGCTTCTGCAAAGCGCTGCTCTTTCATCGCCCGTTCCTCCCAATTCTTTGCTCTGAGGCTCTATAGAGAGAGAGAGCAATTCAAGGGTTGATCAGTTTCAGCAGAGCATCTTGCAAACATTGAACGTTTAAGACAGTGTTTCCCAAACTTGACAATTTTAAGGCATGAGGACTTCAACTCCCAGAATTCCATAGCCAGCAACGCTGGCTGTGGAATTCTGGGAGTTGAAGTCCACATGCCTTAAAATTGTCAAGTTTGGGAAACACTGGTTTAAGACAGTGATGGTGAACCTTTTAGAGACTGAGTGCCCAAACTACAACCCAAAACCCACTTATGCATCGTCAGGTGCCGGGTGGGTGTGGGGTATTGGGTGGGCATGGCTGCGGTAGTAACGGCAGACGGGGTGGGACTAAAAAGTTCAATCAATCGATTCCAACTTTGCAAGATCTTTTTTTTTCCTGCGAGAAGTTGAAATTGACTGATTGAACCTTTTTTTTTTTTTTTTTTGCACAAGGTGGCGGAGGCCTAAAGCAAAAAGGTTTTATAAAACCCAGCTGAAGGCCTAGAACTGGGGCGACGGTGTGCGTGCCCACAGTGAGGGCTCTGAGCGCCACCTCTGGCACCCGTGGCATAGGTTCGCCACCACTGGTTTAAGAGGTTGCGCAGAGTTGGGGGGAAAAGACCGTGGTTATTATTTGAGAACCTTTCTCAATCTTTTTTCTGAATAAAATGGGTAGACTCTTAAAAAAAAAAAAAACATTCTTCCCACCCAGATTCACCCCTTAATTACGAGATCATTAGGTAACAATAGAAGCGAATATCCATCCCTCACGGTTGAGCTGGGGAGACCATGGTGCTCTCTAATTGTTTACTTGCAGACGTTTCTTCACTCAGCTAGGTAACAAGATCAGTGTGTGGGGGGGATAGGGTTTGCTCCCCACTTAAATGCAGTAACTTGCCCTGCTACTGGTAGTTTTGGTGGGGTGTGTGATTTTTCTCCTTGAGATTCCTTGATAGGATATTATTTTCTGCTTGACCGTTGTCTGGTGTAAAGCGGGTATTAACGCCAGACAAACACAATCAAGCAGAAAACAATATCCTATCAAGGAATCCCAAGGAGAAAAACCACACCCCCACCGACAATGGCAGGGCAATTTACAGTATACATCCAGAGAGGAAGCCCCATACTGTCTCTCTCTGATAAAGTTACCTAGTCAGGTAATGAAATGTCTGCAAGCTCGGAGAGCACCAAGGACTCCACACATTAGAGTGGAAATATCATAGTTATTAAAGTCACTGAGCAAAAGAACATTTCTTACTTCTTTTAAAAAGAACCAGGAAAACATAGTGGGTGCCCACATACCCTTGACGTCCCAAATGGCATCCAATCATAAGAGGAGGCTTAAATACACAGCACCAGTTGAACATTCATGAGTTTCTCCAAATTCAGAAGCGTTCCGAGTTCCTGCAATGTCACGAGAATCTGACACTTCTGGATGACAAAGAGTCAAAAAGCTGTAAGGGTTGAGCTGCCCCCAACTGGGGTTGCTAAACTTTTGAATTTTTAAGGAGCACATCTCCTTCTTGAAGAGTTTTATCTGCAAGTCCATAATAAGTGAACAATCCCAGAACGCTAGGGCTGGAAGGGAACTTAGAGGTCATCTAGTCTAACTCCCTGCCTAGAGCAGGATTCCTCAGCCCATCCCAGACAAATGGTTGCCCAATATTTGCTTAAAAAGCTCCAGGCAAGAAGCCCCCGAGAAGCAGGTCATCCCACTTCTGTACTTAATAGCACTCACAATCAAATTTCTTTCTTTTTTTTAAATTTGGGAAAAAATCCAGATCCATGGATTGGTGAAAATCATTTGGTGCGGTCTACTTTTGGGGTACCTCTGACTTCCCAATCTGTCCCGGAGATCTTCCATCTGTGTTCTAGCCTGGCCTTACCTTCCTTGTTCAGGTATGTTTATCCTGATGGTGAGAACATCATACACTTTATAGCCGGGTTTTTCTCAACCTTAGCTCACTTTAAGATGGCTGGCTGCGGCATTCTGGGAGTTGAAGTCCACCCATCTTAAAGTGGCCCAGGTCGAGAAACACTTCTGTAAAGATACAACTGCAAGGTGATCACACCGGTCAGTCCTAGAGGAGATCAACTCTGACTGCTCTTTAGAAGGCCAGATCCTGAAGTTGAAACTCAAGTCCTTTGGCCACCTAACGAGAAGGGCAATTGAGGGCAATAGAAGGGGACAGCAGAGAATGAGGTGGCTGGATGGAGTCACTGAAGTAGGCATGAGCTTAAGCAGACTCCAGAAGATGGTAGAGGACAGGAAGGCCTGGAGGAACATTGTCCATGGGGTTGCGATGGGTCGGACATGACTTCGCAACTAAAAAACAACCAATGACACAACCCTCTTAAATCAGAGCCCCGCGCCCTTCACTCAGCTGTTCAATTTGACGCTCACAGGGTGAGTCCCTTAAAAACAATTATTTTAATGGCTGGTGCAGGGGTAGGCAACCTTGGCTCTTTTATGACTCGTGGACTTCAACTCTCAGAATTCCTGAGCCAGTCGTGCTGAGGGAAAAGGGAGAGGTTTCCAAGCTGAGCCAGGCTGGCTCAGGAATTCTGGGAGTTGAAGTCCACGAGTCATAAAAGAGCCAAGGTTGCCCACCTCTGGACTAGTGGAACCAGGTATGATGATGATGATGATGATGACGACCTTGCTGAGGAGCTGCCACCAAGATTTACCACCGGCAAGAAGGATCGGGCAGCGAGGACACACACACACACACACACACACACACACACACACACACACACCACTCCATCCCACACCACCCCCGCGGGAAGGGACGGTGCCTTGAAGGAGCAGGATGGATGGATGGATGGATCGCGGTGATCTCCTTCCGCCTCCAGAAGCCAGCCCCCCCAACCCAACCCTCCACTCCGGGCACACGAAGGATCCAGCCTGCCCCGCTTGTTGGAAGTGCGAGCAAAGCGCGCAACACAACGCAATGTAAAGCATGCAATGAAATGCACTAGGCCAGGGGTAGGCAACCTTGGCTCTTTTATGAGTCGTGGACTTCAACTCCCAGAATTCCTGAGCCAGCCTGCTGGCTCAGGAATGCTGGGAGTTGAAGTCCACGAGTCATAAAAGAGCCAAGGTTGCCTACCCCTGCACTAGGCTGCGTGGATTACACCCGGGCCGAAGGCCAGAGATGCAATGCGACCTTCTTTGCAACACGCCACCGCATTCCAAGCGCCGGATTGCAAGCCAAAGGCCGCCCTGCTCCAGCTGCGCCCCCCCCCCAGGTTAGCTCGTAAGGACAGCGCCCGCTCCCCCTTTACCTGGGCCCGGGTAGGTGAGGAGCTGCGAGCCCAGCCGATTCCCACGACTCGCGATCCCTCCTGCTTGGCGACTGCGGCCTCAGAAGCCGTTCTCAAGGTCGCCCCCTCCCGGCCGGCGCTAAAATAGCACTTTCTTCGCGGCGCCGAGTAAAAGGCGGGATGGATTCCCCCAATCCCGGATCCTCCTTCAAGTGCGGGGAGTGGCGCGGGGAATATGTTCCCTCCCCGCCAGGGAGAGCTTGTCTGCTGGCTGTCCCGAAGGTGTTTTTTCAGGAGGCAACTGGACCTTCTTGTCTTTCGCTTCTCATCCTAAACAGG